CTTCAACTGCTGAGAGCTTAGACTAGCCCAGTAGCTGGTCCTCCCCACTGGGCAGCACACACGTCCTCCTCACAGGCTGCGCAGCGCGAAGCAGAACCAGGGGCCTCAACCCAGGCCTTGGCTGAAGCACGAATACACAGTCCTGAGTACAGAAATGAGACATCTCTAGAAAAAACAAGAGATCAGAACTGTGCTGTAGGAGTCTGAGCAGTGCAGCAAGCCGAGCTCAGCACACACCAAGGCACAGGGCCTCCTGCCTGCCAGGCGCAGAGGGAGAGCAAACGTGGGTGCTCTGCTGCCAGCCCCAGGCAGGGGACAGCTTGCAGGCTTGCGAGGAGGGCACAAACCCCTGTGTCACGAGCTCTTGGAGGAATGGAGGCCTGCAACTACTCCTGCGGCTACACATTTCCACTAACCACCCCAGTAAAAACTTTTTTCATGATGAGGATAGTCGTGCATTGCCCAGAGAGACCATGAAGTCTCCATCTCCATGTATTCCCATGGGTAAAGTCCTGAGCAACCTGGTCTGACCTCAGAGCTGACCCTGCTTAGGTTGGGCAGACAAGAGACTTGTGAGGATCCTTCCAACCCGAGTTAGCTCGTGATGGACCACACAGGTGCCGCAGCCCCTACCCCTGCGGTCTGGGGAGGCCGTGCAGCTTGCTGCAGCACCCCAGTTTTACACGCACCCCCCAGCAGGAGCTCTTACTTGAGCTGGCCACACTTTGCTGTGCCCCAACCAACCCAGCCCACCCCACTTCAAGTCAGACACCAGACACCTGGGAGAGAAACGGTTGTGACAGACTGAAATCCCCTTCTGCAGGAAGACCGCTCCATGCGAGTACAAGAGGAGCCAGACAGAGGGATTCCAACAGCCGGCTGTGTCCCCCCAGAGCTGAGCACGACCCCCCCAGACTGCTGCAGTGGAAAGCGGGAGAGGGTCTGCCTCTCCCAGACAGCAGCTGCAGCCGGTCTGCACTGCAGAAAGAGGAGGTGCAGGTGGCTGCCACCTCCTGCCTTGGGGAAATCCACATCCAGACCTCGGCCTCCAACAAGTCCAACGCACACAAACTCCTCAGCCTCGCTCCCCTCATGCCCAGACGAAGGCAAAACCTCTGCTAGGGAAAGGGGCTCTTCCTGCAGCGCTCCGAAGTAACTCCATCAGCCTTTTTGCTCTCCAGCATCACCTCCAACGGCACAGCAAGGATTTCCTCACCACAGCTGGTATCGGGAAGAGGTGAAGGCTCTGTACCTCACCTCATCACCCCTCTCCTGTCCAGCGGTTACCGCCTCAGCAAGGCCCATGCGCCTGCTCCAGCCGCAGCAGCGGGAGAGGGACAGTGTCACCTCTCCTCCAGGGAATCCGAATTTACCACACCAGCTGGTAAAGAGCCACCCCGCCTCTGTTCCCCTGCTGTCTCGCAGCAAAGCGAGTTGCTCGTGTACAGGACTAACCCCCTGCTGAAGTGTCTGCTAGGAGACAGCCGGCTGCTTTGAAAAGAGCATTTGTTAACTGCTGACCCAAAAGGAGGCACTAGATGAGAGAAGGATTACCTAAAGGTTTTAAAGCCAGACCAGACAACCCTCCCAAAATTGTGCCTGGTTCACGGGGACCTTTCCCACAAAAGGAAAGCTGGGAAAAAGGCTTCCTCACAATACCCAAAAACTGGAACGCACTACAGAAACTCTAGGCTATCATACAGAAAACAGGCTTTGAGAGGAGTAAAACCTGGATACGTGCCTTTCATCCCCACACCATCTCTACCCTCACCCCATAACTTGCTGCCCAGTCCCCTTCCTGCCAGCCTCTCCTCTCGCAATCCCCCCTCCTGCGTGCCTCGCAGCTCACCTTAACACGACAGCCCAATACCCTCCCATCCAGAAACTCTAGGCTATCATACAGAAAACAGGCTTTGAGAGGAGTAAAACCTGGATACGTGCCTTTCATCCCCACACCATCTCTACCCTCACCCCATAACTTGCTGCCCAGTCCCCTTCCTGCCAGCCTCTCCTCTCGCAATCCCCCCTCCTGCGTGCCTCGCAGCTCACCTTAACACGACAGCCCAATACCCTCCCATCCGCTGCCGATACCTTCCTTAGCTCCTCGGAGAGCATTATCCACCATGGGGGCTGCAGTCCCCTGTGGTGACCCCCCTAATTTGGGGATGTGAGAGAAGGCAGCTGCTGCACTACCCCACCTGGTTATCCAGAGCCCTGTCACAGGGAGAACAGTACCGTCCCACTGGAACGCAGACAAGGGATACAGAACCGGAACATAAACCATCACTTTGAGAGAAGTGGGTGAAGGAGGAAGGCCCACACTCCTCCCACAGCCACCCGCCTCCTGCTTAGCTCAGCAACTCCTCAGGCTGGGAGATGCCGCCTGCAGGTTAGATCCTGCCCTGGTCTGGGCTGACCTAGCAGCGTGCACGGTGCAGCGTGGGAGCCTCTGGTGTGAACTCACTGTGAATGTGGGCAGGGAAACTGCTTGGCCTGCGGGAAACTTTCTGCTTCGGCTGTTACCAGTATCCCATTACGAACGGTGAGACAGCATCTGCCTTTCTTTCCAAGATTTGCTCCGTACTATTCAACCAGATGCTTCAATTTGCTCCTGCTGCCTCAGAGCTCCCTTGGCGGGTACCTCACTGCTGGAAAGGCAAATTTTCTTTCCCCATGTGCCTTTTACGGATCCATTCAGTGACCCTGGAAGATGCTTTCCTGCAGACAGACCTGGTTTCACATTTCTGAGCCATGCAGAACGGTGATCCGACGGGCCAAAAGACGGTCCGCTTAACACATGTCCGAGGTCACCTCCAGAGTCGAAGGAGGAGATCTGGAAAGCAAACCTAACACCTAATGTTTCACGCCCACAGGTGTGGCTCGGGGCTGCTCAAAGCTGTGTGGGTCCTTGGGCAGATGTGCCAGGCACAGTTTGGTTTTGACCTAAATTACCTTCCATTTTTCCAAGTAAGTTTTAAAATCCTGACAAATTATAAAAGAGCCACTGCCCCTCCATTACGGTATCAGCCTGGTAAAGCTCAGAGTCACCAGTAAAGGTAGCAAAACCTTGTAAACTGGGGAAGAAAATACATGGGGGCAGCAAGACACGTAAAAAGTCACGGGGTGACATGCGCATCTATGTACCAAGAAATGGCCTTCAAAGGGACAGAGTCGAAATCTGGTAAGAGAATGAAACTCCTCGGTCGCTGAGCACTGAGAAAAGTGCAACAGGAAGAAATGGAACGTCTGGAACGTCTCAAACAACAAACCCAACAAAATCAGAAGAAAATGGTTTAGAAGAGCCTTTAAAATGAGTTTTATTGTCAGAATTTTACAAGTAGCCTTCAGTGGCATCATACAAGAACTCTGTTGCAAAACTCTAATAAATAGTCTGCCCCAAGTCCCAAAATATCTTTTGAAATAAAATAAAAACCAAACTTAAAAATAAAAGAGAATAAAAGCAAGACTTCAGGATGCTCAGAGATGTCAGCAATATTTCCCATTTACAAATAATATCAGGCATTATATAAATCTCCTTCATACAAGTCATTAAAAAACCCAAGACATTCTAAACCTTTACAAAAGCACTCCAGAAATAGTTCCCAAAGAGACCCATTTCCATGACAAAACATTGGAGAAGAACTCCATGGGGATTAGCATCACAAATGAAGTTTGAGGGTCGAAGTGTAGTGCCCGTACTTGTGTGAAGCAGGACTGAGGAGCACACAAACAGGGTTTGAAGAGAGCACGGAATTTTCCGTGACAAGACTGCGCCGGGGGATTTCACCCTGTCTATCTGAGAATGTGGTAAAGGGAAGGGAGCGGATGCTCTTGACATCGACACCCACTGGCTTTACGCCAGGCAGTATTTGTTAAGGTAGCGAGACCGTATCCGCGGAAGGGAGCAGGAAAGGTTTCTCGGCACGCCACACAGTTCAATGCCTGCGCAGACCGTGGCGCTTAAAAGTCGTGTTCTGACACCTAAAAGGTATTTTCTGGAGAGGTAACACGTTGTGGCAAGGTAGCTGTTCCTTCAAAGAACAAGAAATTAACTTTCTTGGCAGGAGGCAGCTTGGGAAATCTCATGCTAGACAGATTCACCGAGGATTGGGGATTTCAGAGCTCCCATCCCAGAGTACGTTGAAAAAACACACTTCTCAAATTCACCTTCAGGTATTCCTCTGTCTACGGCAATGAAAGATTTGTAAGACCTCTCCTGTAATAAAACACCGCTGAATAAACGTTTCTCAAATCTGCTGTGATTTGGAAAGTCCAGAGAAACAGTATGGGAGGGGGCAGGCGCATGGAGACAGTTTATGCGGACTTTTCATGGAAACAGTTCAGGGGAAAGAAATCTTGATCTCTTTACAACTTCAGCCCAAGTCTTCTGCACCTACGCACCTAACAGCTTCCCCCGGAAGGGAAGGGGACTATGCGGAAGCGGTACAGCAACCGCTGACGGTATCTCTCAGCCTGCCTCATACGGCATGAACTGCGGCGTGCCTAGCCTCTGCTGTCCGTAAAGGTACTGGCAGCCACTGCTTCCACGGGAAACGACAGCCACCGGACAACGCTAACGCGACAGATGTGTGAAACGTGCCTCGCCCATGGCTCACATCTCCAGTCTCTCGCCACACGTCAGGATGCTGCTCGCACTGTACCACACGCTACGGACACGCGCTCTCGGTAACATACGGGAAGGTAGCACTAGCAGTCAAGCGCAAATTGCTAAGGAGACGCCTAAAAACATTGCACTGCGTCCCCTTGTCTGTGGCATACTTCAGAAAACAATGTAAGAAGAGCAGTAAAATAAACATTTCTTTCTAGTTTTCTAGATGTCGTAATATTTGCCAAAGCTGCAAGGAAAAGCGGATTACCTGAAACAGAGAGAAAGGAGTCAATGGAAAGGGAGGCAGATGGAACAGCAAGCCTGATCCAGCCTCCAAATCGTTTTGTACAGAGCAGATAAAGAGACCATGTGCAAAAAATAGACATTCACATTTTAGCAGTTAAACTTTTATTTTACGTTTTTAAAATTATTTACTTTGTTTCTTTTCTACAAAAGGCAGACACTGACTGTTGATCTGCAATTGTTCCGAGTGCGCGCAGGGATGCGTAAAAGGGCTGTTGGAGGATGAAGGACAAGGAAGTGCTCTGACTATACTTTCACATGTCGTGATTAAGGTGGCATTAAAGCTTAAGTCCCAGCAATAATATTCATAACAGATCGGTACCTTCCCTGCACACTGTTCTCAGTTCATATCAATTGTGTTGAAAACCCATTCGGTGAATTTCTTCAGTTTCTCCGTCGCGTTCTGGGATTCCTCCTGTAACCTCAAGTTGTCTTCCCTCAAGTGTTGCACTTCTGCCTGAAGACTGGCCTTGTCCTCTTTTTCCTTGGGCATGAAACAAAATACAGACCTTAGTGGAAGTTTTAGGCCATGCTTCTTACCTACACAGAGAGGCAAGAATCTCTTGAGACAGCGTGACTCTTGGTGTGTTTAAGGATTTTAGGTGCAGTAACACATGGTTTGGTGTGTAAGGGGCATTTGTGGCATTTCTCTCCTCGCTTTTTGCTTGAATGAGATGGATTTCTCTGTATTAAATTCTGCTGGAGAAGCTGGCTCCCCAGCTGGTGGAATAAAATTGGGCATGCCCTGTTCCACACAGACAACACGCATGTATGACTGCTGATGGTTAACTAACGGATAGGAAATATTCCTGCAAATACTTCCCTAGCTAAGAGACTTTTCCTCTGACCACAGCAGAACCCTGATGGACCAAGGAGGCAGTAACACAACACAGGAAGTTTCCACTGTAGAAATTATAAGTTTAGTGTATTGGGTTTGCATGGTGAGGTTTTCGTAGTGGGGCTACTACAGGGGCAGCTTCTGTGAGAGGCTGCTGGAAGCTTCCCCCATGTCCGACAGAGCCAATGCCAGCCGGCTCCAAGACTGACCCACTGCTGGCCAAGGCCGAGTCCATCAGTGACGGGGGTAGTGCCTCTGGGATAATGCGTTTGAGTGGAAAAACCCCACAAAACTGCAGAACAGCAACCGCAGCCGGAAAGAGGAGTGAGAATGTGTGAGGAACAGCTCTGCAGACACCCAGGTCATTGCAGGGAGGGGCAGGAGGTGCTCCAGGCGCCGGAGCAGAGGTTCCCCTGCAGCCCGTGGTGAGAGGGCAGGCTGTGCCCTGCAGCCATGGAGGGTCACAGGGAGCAGAGACCCCCCTGCAGCCCGGGGAGGATCCCATAACAGAGTAGGCTGCTGTGTGTGAAGGAGGCTGTGACTACGTGGGCAGCCCAGGCTGAAGCAGCTGCTCCTGAAGGACGGCACCCCATGGGAGGGACCCACGCTGGAGAAGCTCATGAAGAACCTCACGCTGGAGCAGTTCATGAAGAACTGCAGTCTGTGGGAAGGAGTCACACTGGAGAAGTCCATGGAGGACTGTCTCCCATGGGAGGGACCCCGTGCTGGAACAGGGGCAGAGTGTGAGGATCCCTCCCCCTGAGGAGGAAGGAGCAGCAGAGACAGCGTGTGATGGACTGACCACAACCCACATTGCCCGTCCCCCTGTGCTGCTGGAAGGGAGAAGGTAGAGAATTGGGGAGCAAAGCTGAGCCTGGGAAGAGGGAAGAAGTGGGGGGAACTTGGTTTTAGTTCTCATTACCCTACTCTACCTTCTATTTGGCAATAAATTAATTTCCCCAAGTAGAGTCTGTTTTTCCTGTGATGGCAATCGGTGACTGTTCCGTCCCTGTCCTTGTCTCGACCCACGAGCCTTTTGTAATATTGCCTCCCCCCTGCCCAGCTGAGGAGGGCAGTGACAGAGCAGCTTTGGTGCACACCCAGCTTGCAGCCAGGGTCAACCCAGCACAGTCTAAAAAACCCTGTGAACTTTTTAAGATCACCAGGATATATTTATGTGGACTAACTTCAAGCCTTTCACAGTGTCACCTGAATTACGAGTGGAGGTACTCTGAACCACCCTCCTGATTTAAGCAGAGGAATCAGGTGCCTACAAATTTAGCTACTCCACCCTAGTCTTGCAAAATCCGATGTACAGCAGGAGAAAAGTAGTAAAGAAAGGTCTCTTCCGTACACGGATGAGACTGTCAGAGGCTCAGGCACAGCAAAGCAGGATTACAGTTATTAGCATCACCTTTCAGCACTGAATGTCTTACAGATTTTCTGTAGATGAAACGTTTACCTTCCTTAAATCCTCTTGAAGCATCTTCAGCAAACCTTCCAGTTGGTCCACTTTAGAGGCGAGAGTTGGAGGAGATTCTTTACTGTTGAAAGCAGGAAACAAGAAGAGGTATGGATGGGATTTCCTGTCTTCACACCAGGTAGCCAACTGCCCTGACTACACCAAGTGGCTTTACGTGGGTTTGCATCAGGTATACCAAGAATTCACAAAATGAACAAGAGGAACCTAACAAAGAGCACCTGGAACACATGCAGCTCCGCAGAACAAAACTAACTCATAATTAATCGGGGCCATCTCATCACTGGACATCTCTACTTCTACTCATAGGGTAGCGCATTCTACTCGTTGTATGTGCCTTGAATTACCACTGCTTTGGGCACGTTCATGACATCTCAGACAAGAAAGAACCTGCAGAAAGGTTCAACTGGACTCAGGATTCTTGAGAATTTGTGAAGACTTCTGTGAGGCCTAGAGAAAGCTTTCCGGTAAAGATGTTCCCACTCTTTTCCTTACTTTGTGGCGGAGGGGGCCTGCGGATCTGGTGAATTCACTTACCCTGTATAAGGCTTTATCTGTGCAGTAAGCTGGTCCTCAGCCTGATCACCGCTGGAGGCAGCACTCACAGGCCTGTGATTTTCATCGGCAGCAGCAAAGAACGAAGCTCGCTGAACTGAGAAGGCAAACGCACAGAGAAAAACAACGGCAGCGCTGAGGGTTATTGGTTCATGCAGAGTGAAACTGCGACACTGGAGGCTCTCAAAGCCATCTCGGCGTTTGTCTCAAGCAGGGTGAGATGACGTCACGTACCAATATATCCACTTGACAGAAGCAAACTGGCATTGCAAGTGCCTGCACCAGGTTCTCCACTCTACCGGATTCAACAAGGGAGCAGTAGCCCCGGCAGAGCGCCGCACGCTCACGCGCATCACGCATCACCCTCGGGCTAAGCAGCTCTCCAGGAGGGAGATGCTGGAGTGCAAAGCAGAGATACCCGGGCGGCGCTCGCGGCATCCACACAAGGCCAGTTCCAAGAGAGGAAAGCCGCCAAGCTGCAACAGCCAGCGCCGTAACTTCCTGGGTACAACTGCGTGGTACTACCCCATAACTCAGTGACTGCATTTAGCATTCTTCCCTCCATAAAGGATCCCTTTATCTCGAGGACAGAAAAGCTCACTGTGCACATTTCACATGTGGAAAGTAAAACGACCAATGTAATTTTTCAGAACCCAAAATTTTTTCCTTATGCCTTGGAAAACGTTTTCAGATTGAAATGTGAAACCTCTTCCCTGCCTTCTGCCTACACTTTTTTTTTTGTCCTGTAACTGCTCAGATGTTTTAACACATCTCCAAAATCACTATCGCATGGGGTGTGACTGTAAACTACCAACTGCCCCTGCCTCTGGAGTTTCCTAGCACCAACAGTAACATAAAGACTCTTCAGTTTGATAAATTGACATCTCTCCCCCCCACCAGCTGCTGGTCTGTCACTGGAAAGAGAACAGTATTGTCTTTTTCTGCGTGGCAGATTTTTATTCTGTGCTTTCGACAAGACTAAAATTAACGTGCCTTGGTATTTGAAGGAATTTTTCCTGCTTCTCTCCTTTTTCTTTTGAGTGAAAACACTGAAGGTTGGTGTAGCGCAGGGGTCCAGGCAGCTTTAGTTTCAGCTGGTTGCAGACACCACTGTTTGTAAGTTCAGGGGCTGAAGACACCGATCAGGGATGTAGAAGAGAGGTGTCCAGGATCACAAATCAGAATTTAGGCTACTCAGTACTTGTCAATCCTGACTGGCAGCCGGCAGAGACTAGAGACCAGGATTACACTGACATCAGACAGCTGTTCCCTCTCCAAGTCACATCTGAATGTATTTTTACAGCGGTGAGATGAAGGTTCCAGCCAACACGTTACCCCAGCTTTCCTTCAGCCGAGCTGTCAGCTCGTTACCTTCACCACACTGACTTGGTTCACACTAAAGAGAAACACGCCTGAGTTGGGGGCCTACAGAAGTGAGGGATTCAGGTTAACGAGTACAGTCAAATAAACCTAACCAAGGAAAAGGAGGGCATCTTTTAAACAGAAATTTGTCCCCACAGCAAAACACATTAGAAGCTGGGTTTCTTCCCTACGTGGTGGTGAGAAAACCATCACTGCAAATTCATCTCCCCGAGGACTAGGGCTGACTCTGAATATCCTTTCCCAAGACTGCCCAGCAGAAACAAGAGACGTGCTGATCCTACAACTCCTACAGCAACGGAGCAGCGCACACGCACGCCTGGAACACCAGCTTAGACATGTGCTGTGTTAATGACGTGTGCGGCTACTACCAGAGAACAGTCAGGAAGGCAAGCTAATTCACAGCCTTCTCCAGCCACGCAGAGTAGTGTCTACCAGAGTCAGGATCAGTGAAAACACTTCCATGAAGGCGGGACGGCATTTTATGCAGGGCTTAGGAAAAGGCACTTATGTCTAATGCACCTAGAAAACTTTTCCATTGGATTATAGCGACTGTAAGGTAAACTCCCTTTGGGCTGAGGAATTTTAAATTCAAAGACACCTATAGGCAGCTTACTTCCTCAGTTTACTAAGTGTCAGAGAGATGGAAAGTGCCACAGGATGAAATGACACTTATGCGCAAGTTGATGTATTCGGAGTAGGCAAAGGGAAGAACGGCAATGGAAAAGTATACACCGACAAGGCCTATTTCCCAGATTACCTTGGCAGCAAACTCGGGCTGCACTACAGAAACTTCTCGCTAGTGCAGCAAGCAAGCAATCACTAGTGTGCTCAGGTGTTTTTCCCCCTGCTATTTGACTGTACTGTTGCACTTCGTGCCAGATGTCTCTTCCACCCTAGCTGTGATGTCTGCAACCGCTCTACGTGAAATGAAAAGTAGCCGGTTTCACCAAGATTTGGCCAAACCACAGCACAGAGGGATTGCAGTATGAAGAAATGGTATCTGAGTCTTACATACAAAGTTTTAGGCTGTTAAGACCCGAGTTGCTAATGAGCTTAAGCTTCAGACTAAGAACAAAGAGTAACAACCACAACAAAAGCAAGAGTCAAGATTCAAAACACCCCAACACTCCTTAATGAAGCCTGCATAAAGACCAGTTTTCTAAGTACTGCATTCTGAAAACTTACCTTCGAAGGCTTTGGCAGCATCCACCAAGTTTGACCAGTCCAGATCAGAGGCAGAATCAGGCAATGGCATAAGACCAGGGTCTGGCATGGGCTGCCGTCTTTGCTCCTGGATATCTGTGAGGGAGCTGTCTGAGGCAGAAAACTCTCCTAGAGTGATGCAGAACAAATTATAAACTCCATTAAAAAACCCTCCAAAATTACTTTCTTAATATTAATGCATCCTTATTTTGGATTTCTCTGGGATAGCCTCTGCACAAGCTGAAGATACTCTGGAGGGCTCTGCAGCCTGCTGGGTTTTCTACACTCCTGGGGCACCTATTTGCTCCTGTAAAAATACAAAATTGTGGGTTTTTTTCCCCACCTTTCTTTACAATCTCATAAACCAGTAGGAGCAGACTTAGGCCTACCGAGATGAATCAGAGCAAGAAAACCCTTGGCATGACTTCTGAAGCATTGTGCATTTCAGCAGTTTAGTGAAACCTCTTGACCTTCACTGAAGAACACCCACACCCACCCGTAAGCTGGTACCCAGCCCACTATGCAAAAATCATTGGCAAGCTTGATAAAAGGATATGAAATCCCCGTAACTTTTGTGAAACTGGTGCCCAGCAAAGTGAAAAACTTGAATTGTTGCCACTAACTGGGGGAAAGACCAAACCCTGAACCAAAAATTATCTACTTTATTTCTGCTGACTGGTTGGACAATCAAACCCCGTGTCAGTCAGCACACGCGTAACCTCAGAAGCAGCAACAATCTGCTCCCTTGTGCCCTCTGTCAGGGCGTAAAGAAAGGTCTGAAATATTTGTAGGTGGTACTAGAAGCACCAGAATTGCAGGGGTGAGATGAGGGACTGGGCACCTGGGAGGATGCTACAGAGAAGGAGGATACGGTGAACAATCCATCTGGACCAGAGCGAACAGGACGACAGCATGGTGGGCAGGACACAAGCCCACTGGAGGACAAACGTCACTAGCTGTGTTGCTTATTTCTGCCCCCCTTTTTGGGGCGGACAGTCTAATAACTATGTAACTTCAATAACTAAAGCAGCTTTCTAATAACTTTAAGTAATATTGCTGCCTGGGAAGCAATGACCAGAAGAGCTACCCTGCATTCGCTTCTTGGCTCAAAAATACTGCTGGGTTTTTTGTGTCTCTGTGGTGTGTTTACTTCTTATAAACGTTAAGTTCAGCGTAATATTAACACTGAGGATTCTTGTGTTATCTCCCCAAGAGAGGACAGTTATTTGGGAAGTTCTTAACACAAAAATATTCACAATTACTGAAAGGATACAGAGAAGAAAAACCTAACTGTTCGAAAAATTACCTGATTTAAAAGTGTGAGTTGGATTACTAATTGAGATGGAGGAGTAAATAAGAATATTTTTAGCTCAGTGTTTTCCCTCTTCAAACAAGTGAAGGTGCTCTGCAATGGCTGTTCTTTGTTATTAAGGTCTTTGAATGAGAAGAATTTTGAATAGCTGGAAACCAACAAATACTTGCGGCATTAAATATCCAGCTCTGTGTAATCCTTCTCCCAATGGCAAGTGTTGGGGGGGGGCGGAGACAATTCATGTGCCACTCTAAAAGCTGGTCCTTTTATTATGCAGGCCCTGTATTTTAAAGAAAACGGAAAAGTTTTGTTTTGTTGACAAACACAGGAAGTTTAAGTGCCAGGAGGAGTGATCGGTTTGGCGTGGATGAGAAGGTGACAGTGAAAGAAGGCTCTGTGGTTTTCTTTTTGGGAAACAGAGGTACCTAAATAAAAAGAGACCAAGTGCTGCTTTCCACTTCTACTCAGATGGCATCATTTATCTTCTGACCCCAAGCCCTTCAAAGCCAAATCCACCAGCCTGTTGGAAGCGTAACCACGCCTCCAAAGTTATTTTAGTGCATATAAAAAGCAGAAGTGGAGAGAGCTGAGTTTCCTAACTAACTTATGCATGAAAGACGTTACACAGAAACAACAGCTCGTGAAAATGTCAGGTTCAACACTGAAAACTGACGTCTGGTGATCACAGACAGATGAGAAGAATTTAGATCTCTTCAGCAGCCTTCATTGTCAGATGCATCCTGTTGCATCCAAAGGCAGGCCCTGCTTAGGGCTCACTGTAGTGAGCTGAATCTATTGATAGCCTCGTGTTTTCCTCCTGAAACATGCTAAACCATGATAAATCAGAGAGGACAGGTACTTCTTCAGAACACGTCGCAGAGCCCTGCGCTGTGAGATCCAGCCCTATTTCTGGAAAATGCATTTAGTACAGGTTTAGTTACAAGGTACAGCGGGAACCTGCGAAAGCCCCCTTGCTCACCGACCGAGACATTCCCGTGCAGCAGCACACAGCCTGTGCGACGACCCTACCGAGACGTTTCAGCGAGCTAACGGGGGGAAAGCCGAGTGCCTTCTCCACAGCGCTTTACCGAGCAGCTTTTCCTCGTTAGCTGCTGATGCGTGACTGAAATAAGGGACTCAAGTCCTGGAAAACAAATAGGCTAAGGGAGTGATTTTAAAAACTGCTGGTGCAAGAAAAGCTCTATCTGGTGCAGTTGTACATCCAAATGTCCACCAGTAGTTATCTGCTTTTATATCATCGTTTTCTCAAGGGTATGTTGTTCCCATAGTACCACACTAGTTGCCTGAAGTTGTCACTGGAGGATAACCAGGCATACATTATTTGCCCACCGGTCCAACTGGTCCAGATGACTCCTGGAAGGAATGGTGACAACTTACAGCCAATGAGGCAAATTTTTCTGCTCCTTCCACAAGGTGTGTGCATGGCCAGTCATTCACTGAAATGAGGAAAAAACATTCCCGTCCTATTTTAAGCTTTCAGGCACATAACTTGACCCTCCTCATTTTAGCAAATGAAGATGGAAGCACTAACTGCTGTAACAAACATTTTCCTTTAACACATTTCACACAGGATTCTTTTGAAAGCAGAAGAATGGGAAACAGGCTTACCATGTAGTGATTTCATTCCCAAAGTATACGACGGTCTCCGTAAGGGCAGCGACTTTGGGAGAGAAGGGTACGTGCTGGTGAAGAGGACATCGTTCGGCATGGCTTGGTCCAAGAGCGAGGCCCGCGAGGTGAAGAAGTGGTCCCTTTGACCACTGTAAATACTCTCATCTGACAAAGTCCTTTGCAAGGCACGCCTTGTGGTAGGAGTGCTGGGAAAGGGAGACTGACAGGACAGAGTGTGTGACTATACATTCATAAAAACAAATAGAAAGAAATGAGAAAAAACACATCAATAAAGAAACTTTTGAAGTCTGTGTTGAAATAGTTCTATTTTTTATTTTTTAGATAAGAAAGCAAGCGTTAAATATTGTCTTTTCAGAGCAGACAGGCTAAAAAAGACCTATCTGTTATCTTAACTACAATCTCCTTCAGAGCAGATTCCTTTAGTTCTTTTTCCCATCTCACCTTCTGCCTTTTAAATACCCTTCAAGTTTCTCCTGAAGTGGAAATCTCAGGGTGCCCTCGTGGGTCCTAGAGCTGACGTGGAGCTGAGCTAATGTTTACAGCAACAGACTGAATGCTGCCTAAACCAGCGTCCTCCCTCGTGCCCGGGGGAGGCTGCCTTCCTGCGGGACAGAGCACCGGCAAATGCCAGCTAATTACAAGCGCAGAACAGCTAGGAACACCCACCACCGCTTTGATCCTTCAGAAGGGTTTGAATCAAGTAAACAGCCCCATGAGTAAGAGAACTTGTGTCTCTACCCCCACCATCATCCCAGCTTCCTCCACGCTCCACGGAGGAGAAAGCAACGCCGTGGGGTTAGCCTGGCGTTACGTACTCTCTGGCTAGTGCCAGCAAGCCACTACCAAAGGACGCGTAACCATTCCCGTCAGCAGAGACACTGATTTTCAGGAAACCTCTTGCAACTTAACTATCTCCAAGGCATAACATTTCTTTACGGTTTGGCTCATATTTTGGTCCAAAGGCTTTCAAGGAGAAACGGCAAAGAGAAAGGAAGAGCTAACCACCCTCATGTGCTCTGCAAGCAAGTTTAAACAACAACGGAGGTAGTACAATTTCCAGAGTGATTAAACTTTTTTAATAAAAAGTTGCTCGTTTGCACATAAAAACAGTCTCTCTTCTCAGAAAAAGGGGAAAAAAAAAGGTTTAACAAACAGTACTCTAGTTCCTGTGATCAAAATCCCACACTACGAGGTTGAAGAAGAGCATGGAGGAAGGTCCATTGGTACTGTACAGTGGAAGACAAACTGCCATTATTTCCCCCCCGTCCCCCCAAATGTTACAAATTTTAACATTAAAAGACTACTGCACATTTTGGTTTTATGATTAAGCCTCAGAAACCATTCATTCCAAAAAACCTGCTACGATCAGAAGGAAAGAGAAGTCATGTCCCATGCTGACTTTCTATTAAGTCAAATTCCCCCTTCCACGTGGCCTCCCTCACACACGCCCATGACGGTATGAACCTGGCACACAGAGCTAACGCTTCAGAAATGACAACTTCCGGTACGCCGTTCTCGCGGTGTTACACCAAGGAGCAGGCTGATTTTCCATTCTGGAAGTTAAAAGCTCAATCAGCAGGTTGATGTTACAATCCAGTGAAATCTCCAAGTGCTTGTCCCGAAGTGGCAAGGGAGAAGAAGAGCTGCCAAGTCAAGCAGCGTTTACTCAAGGGTGGTAGAGGGCACTTAGTGTTACAGAATTAGGAGCTGGAACCACCAGTTAACGCAAGACGTTGAAATTAAAAGGCTGCACAGGTATGAGCATCTGATGGAGTTGGAACAGAGGCAATACGAGTAGGAATTGCCTTCTGGTAACGATGCAGAGGGGAGAGAAAAAGCAGGGTGATGTGACTTGCCTCAGAAGCTAAAATGCTAAGTAGTGAGGTAGGAGATAAGGTAGGCTGTGAGGATAAAGAGGCGCACAGTACACACAAAATCACAGCTGAGAACAAATTCTGCTACCAAACAAAGACTTTAGCAGCCAACAGACAGGAAGGAGGAGGATTTTTGGTCTTTGTGCAGTGCACGAATGAAGGGCATTAAGATTCTTTCTTTTATTTACATATTTACGGTGTGGAAAACCATTTTATGATGCAAGTGCAACTTCTTTGGTAAGACGAAATATAGAACTTATGCAGCGGGCAGAAATGACCATTAATTTTAAAATGGAAAAGACTAAATTGGTGTGGCACTGGTGTGGTAGAATGCTATTAACTTGCTGAAATTTATCAAAAGCGTAACCTGAGTTAACATGCTTGTTACAGTCACCCGGAAATAAAGATCAGGGTAAGAATCAATTGGCTGACCCCAGCGCAGAAAAACAACAAACCTGGGAACATACACACTTTCCAATGTCTTCAGCTCGCCTCTTTAAAAAGAATGGAGGTTCTTGGAATGAGAACAATCCCCTTGCTCAAAACAACCAACAGGAGTTTCTCCCATTGCCCATGTCCCACTCTCCTCAGAACCACCACAAACCCTGGAAAAAGATACCTTGCCATAGGGAAGGTTTTGTGGTTGGGTTTTTGTTTTCCTCTCCTCTGGCCTCAGAGGTAACATCTGAAATAATCTGTGTAGAGAACCCAGCGCCTACAAGTTTTAATAAGCCACCTTGGGTTTTTAAAAGCAAAGAAGTTGCAGCGCTCTCTTCCATGCGGTTGCTGTGGAAACCATTTGTGCTCTAGGTGATGAGTCTGGCTGTTAAGCACTGACTGTATGCAGAGACTGTAGAAATCAAGACATCTGCTTCAAAATGATGGATTTTTAAAATTAATATAAGCTCTTTTGTGTTATTATACACATTTTGAAACACACCACGATATGTTTCTAACCATTTATTCTGTATAAATATCTGACTGAGTTTGGGGAGCAGTCTTGGTCCTTGTGCAGTAAGAGGATGAGAGGCACAAGAGCGTGCTTTCTGCAAGGAGTTTCACAACTGTCAACAACTCACTGTCTAGTGACACAGAGAACAATTCAAACACGTGAGACAACATGGCTGGATTTTCCACGAGCCAGCAGTCCTGATGTTCTTTGCAATCTGGCATATCAATTTCTTTAAATGTGCACACAAAACTCTAATCATCTTGCAGTGACTGTGATAATGAAACTGTTCCCAAATGTATTTCTCTAGTAGATAAGTCTGTGGCAAATGGATGACTTTCTGTCCACAATGAGAATCCAAGGAATGCCTTGCATTTTATTTTCCTGTATGGAAAAGATCCTGAGAAACTCTTTGGTCCAATGCAAAGTCCAACCGTGTAAGCTCCGTTTGAACGAACACTTCAGCTCCGAGTGCTTTGAAAGCACCCGGCATTTTCTACACGGAAATCTTAGCGCTTCAGGGCCTTCATCCTTGTCCAAACGGTGCAGCATCTGCTGTATTAGTTTTATGCCTAGGCAGCACTGAACTCAATCATTAAATTCTTATAAGGTGTGATCTTACACATTTCTATTCTGTAATAATGAAACTACGGCTTGGATCAGAAGAGGACCTCTTCAGCTCTTCTCAGATTTCACTTAACTGTGACAAGAGATAGCCAGGGGACAGGCTCCCCCCTTAACATACCTTAAAATTCTTCTGGGACTCAGGCGTTGGGCTATCAAGATCTATCAATTTCTTCAGCTCTTCTTCAACGGTGGACTTGGATGCTCGTTTCGGGGATGCCCGCAGATCTCTTGCTGAAGCGCGCAGCCGAGGGTGGGCCATCTCACTGCCATCACTCTGGTGACGTCTTAAACGAAACGGAACAGACACATTCAGGTCTCAAAGCCCTGGGGCAGGAGGCATGAATGAAAACAAGAATTATAGCACCCTCAAGGTTTTAAAAGAAATAAAACTCAGGTAGGGGGCATGGAGGAGGGAAGGAGTTTCACTGAAACAGCAGAGCCTCATCTTAATGGACACCTGTTAAAGCAATAAACTTGTTCAAAAACATCAACTAGCAACACACTTAAAAAGGTTATCATAATACGTTTTGCCAATAAGGGATTGAATCTATTAAAACAACATGCATTCTGTACAAAACTGTCTTCAATGAGCCCCAAAGCAGCAAATCACTAAGTCTCTTTAATCTTTTAACTGGCTTTTTATAATGCAGTTATCACAAAGTTTCACCATCTCCTTCTGACAGACAGTTACTGGTATCACCTAGGGATACTGTGTTTGACCCAATAAAAGGAGGATTGAATAAATTACTTCATAATGGGCTTTCTGCACCACTTGCTTTCCAGACTTAAAGGAACAGTGTTTTCACTACTAAGTTGTTTCTCAGTTTCTCTTCCAAAAGAGAAGGCTGGGTATCATAACGCAGGGGGACCTTGCCTTGCTTTCAGCCGCTTAGCCTGGGCACCAGCAGCAATCTTAACAAGGCAACATGGAGCGCCACAAAGCTAATGCACAGCACGCACGGTACTACTACAGGGATGAGAGACTTAAGGAAAACTCAGGCTCGAAGTTAAGAGGATTTTTAGTAACTCATCAAAAAGCATTTTGAGCCACCTTTGAGTTGTCCAAAGGAAAGATAAGCTTTAACAGGGCTGAAATCCATACAGCTCTCTAGAAATGATAAAACCCATCTTTTACAAGTTAACATGGAATGAGATTAGCCAGCTATCAAATATGTAAACCTAACTGCAGAACTCCAGATCAGAGATTAAGTTCTACAGAAGACCAGGCATCCTATTAAATGGCCTTGAGCTCTTCTATACAGAGAAGTCCCACAGATCTCAATTCTTCTTTACAATTAAAGCAAATAACCAAACGAGAGAACTAAAAAACAGTCTTACTTTCTCGAATCCATAAACCCCACTGAGTTTATCGTCCCTTCTGGCTTTTTCCATCCAATCAGATACTTGCTAGTAGCCCCCTGGCGAGGGTAGAAAGTCCGAGGACCAGAGGAGGAGGAAGAGGAGGAGAAAGAAGGTGCGAGCTGGGGAGAAGTGGCAGGATGAAGCTCTTCTTTGGGTGAGCTTCTGGCACTGGTGAAAACCACCGGGCTTGCGGAATGTCGTGAGCTCATGGTGCTAGGAAAAAAGCATAATAAAGAAAATTTGCCTCACATTTGTATATATGCACCTTGTTCAACTATTTCTGAAGCACAACTCCGGACACAAGATGTTACGCTTATCAACAGTGGGTAGAGTAACAAAACCATTTTGCTCTTCTTAAGGGCCTTTCACCAGTGTTTCATAAAAACATCTCAGAGTAATAACAGGTTTTGTGATCAACCTCTAAGGATGCAACATACCACCTCATTCCCCTTTATGAATGAGAAATCTAGGATTCCCGATCATTTGGCAGCTTAAAAGTAACGCAAGTGATTGTAGCTGAATTAGCAACAGAGAACCCAAATCCAATTTCTTGCTGGAATTCTCAGCATTGGAACAAAACGTAATTTGAAAGAACTTAAGCAACAGGAAACATCTCTTTAAGCCCCCACAACAAAGCCAAGAAGAAACCCGTACATCTTTCAAAAGAGGGCTTCCTGGCTTTCGCCTGAAAAGTGGTCACCGTTGGCAGAAACCAGACATGAACTGAGAAGTCTGAGCAGGTCTCACACGTACATCATAACTTGTCCAGACAGGAAAAATGGAGTTAGAATGATCAACTAGGGTTCATCTTTGGAAGAACAGGAGCTTTAGATGGGAGCTACTCTTGAGTTATGCTGATTATTAAAATCCGATGCAAGTTGCATAATATCAAGGGTACTAGGGCTTAAGACAGTATTTACTGTAACAACCTCAAAAGGTCAGGCCTTTCTACGTACAGGTACAGGAAAACCTCATGTGCTGCCTGAGTACTGAAACACCGTTGCGTATTTGGAAACCAGTTTTCTATCAGCTCTCCACACAACTCAGCCACATTTTCACCCCTGTATTCAACACTGCAAGGAAGGAATTTGAAACAGATGGCCCCCGTGGTAAAGAACAGTTTCTGACTGAGAAATAAAAATTAGCTGGAAGGCTGAATAAAGTCACCGAATAAACTTCTCATTCTTAACAAAAAATTCTTCACCACTCGTTTCACATCTTGATAAAACAATGCATTTTCACATCTCTCCTACTGAAAGAGAAAAAAGATTTTAAGGTTAAATTTATGTTGACACAAGGGAAAATGATTTCACCTATGTTTAGCCTTATAGAAGCCAGTTATCTAATCTATGCCACTTGCCTGGCTCCTGTTGTAGTCAATGGAGAAATATCCTTAGGAGGTGAGTCTCCTTATCTTAAACTAGGTGACTCAGACACACAGGGAGAAACCAGTGTTTTGGAGTTTCTCCTCTCTCTCCACTGACAACAGACGGAGCCTACATTACCACCTTCAACTACGTTTCATGTTCATATGGCTCAAGTTAAGCACCACCAGTCCCAACAGGTAAGTGCTGTGGATTTAACGAGGAGTCGGAGTGGACTGCAGCCTTCCCACCTCCAAGAGCACCGGCTGCTGCAGCCCAGGCTTCCAGCTAATGTACACGGGGACAGCTGTGAAGTCCCTCCCATCAGGGGCAGGATGTACCTCCCCGTATCTATGCAAGTCAAATGACAGCGGTAGAGACTTGGTACTGAAGAACTAATTTCTTTCTTCCCTCCGTCTGTAGATTAAAAGGCCTACAGAAAAGATGGCAGACTGGGAAAATACAGGAAGAGATTTTCCTGTCCATCAAACCTGTGTATTTGGCACTGCACATCACAACCTTCGTATTTGTAACAGATATTAAGTAAACTTAATTTGTAGCAAGAAAGCAGAGAAAAATAAGAGCTGGGGGGGACAGGCAGCACGTTGCTCCTCATTCCCCCTTCTCTCCTTAAGTACAGAAAGAAACCTCCTACACATGCTGAGTAACCCACCCCATCTGTGAGGCATCACCACTGCAAAATTAAATGGCCAAGATCTGGGGAAGACGCACATCTTCCAAGAAAATGCATGGGTCTGGTTTTTTTTCCCTTTCACTTTTACGCCCTTTTAAATACACTCAAGAAGCAGAGAAGTCTTTCCATTCAGTGTAGGAAAAGAGGTTTTGATCACATTTCACAGTTCTTTAATCCACCAGGTAGTACTTAAGGAAGCGCTAGTTGTGAGAAAACATTTCTTGATAAAAAACAGTAAAAACTCCTAGACAGGCTGGTAGTGTGGATCCTTAACATTACTAGGCAAAGAGGGTAAAAAATGGCATTCAGTATGTGCTACATAAAATTCATATATATAATGCACATGTATATTGTCATGGTTTAACTCCGGACAGCAACTAGGCCCCACATAGCCACTTGGCTCCCTCCCCCTCGCTGGGACGGGGGAGAGATTCAGAAGGGTAAAAGTGAGAAAACCCGTGTGTTGAGATGAAGACAGTTTAATAGGTAAAGCAAATGCCTCACACACAGGCAAAGCAAAACAAGGAATTCCTTCACCACTTCGCACCAGCAGGCTGGTGTTCAGCCATCCCCAGGAAAGCTGGGCTCCATCACATGTAACGGTTACTTGGGAAGACAAATGCCAACACTCCAAACTTCCTGCCCTTCCTCCTTCTCCCCCCAGCTT